ACCCGGGGGTAACAAAAAGTTTGCTTAGATACAATTGCAGGTTGTGCATGGTGCTCGTCCACTTGCTGTGCTTGGGATTTTCAAGCTTGTTCCTCACTCTAGCAGCAGCATATGGATCTTGTTTTATCAAGATCTTGTCCAGTGTGGCCACTGGTATGGCCACTGGCGTGGCCTTGAGCCACTGCGTTGGATCAATCTTAGTATACCCGGCTTGCATAGCTTGGACTTTTATGCTGTGTCTGAACTCGAGGCTGCAGCAGTTGCAAAAATCCCTGCGCTGTTGCTTGTTGCAGCAGCAGCGGGGTCTGCACCTGTTGCAGGTCTTGTTTGAACCACAACTAGAGAAGAAGAGGTGGAGGAATGGAGGGAAGCAAAAATTGTTGCATTTGCAGCAGCGGGAGTAGGGATCAGAGGTGGAGGGATGATTGCACGGGCATCCCATACGTGCGCGACACTTACTTGAGTGGCTTGAGCTTCGAGATGAATAGAACTCACCCCCCTCTCCTGACTCCTTCAACGCAACCCCTACACTAGTGTCCTATCTACTAGGAGGGTTTGACTCGACACCAAAGTGCAACGCCGGATCCCCCGCCGATGCTGAAGATCAAAGTAGCAGCTTGCAGTCCGTAGATGCAGAATGGCTACCTCCCTCGAGCTCGGCTACTTAAGGGAGGCCCTAAAGTCGCCAAATGTCTCCCTTGAATCAGATGCCGGGTGCGTGTCTCCCTTGAATCAGATGCCGGGTGCGAGTGCCTCTCACTGTCGCCACTCCATAATTGTAGCACGAAGTCTTCTCGAAGTGTCTCGTCACTCCAGACTTACTTTCACACAACCTAGTTAGGTGTCTGAATCCCTCTTCTACTGCAGGCATCACATAAGGTCCACCATAGCCATGGCCACCCTTCCTGCTCCTTCCACGATGGAGTATGGCGGACTACCAGGGCATCGCCCTGCTGGGCAAAGGATAACACAAAGCAGGTATGGCTGCTCTACCTCAGGCCGCCATGCCTGACTCTGCCTCAAAGCTTCTTGGTGTAGCTCCACCCCAATGGGCCTTCCAGATGCAGCGCCCACCAAGGTAATGAAGATGGCATCCACCATAGGCAGGTAAGTACCCCTGGGGCTCCTTCCTCCTAATCCCGTTCTTCTTCCTCCTGTCCTTACTTCTCCCCAGCAGCGCTGCTCTTGATGCTTAGTGCTGCTCCAGCCAGCGCTTCAACCAGTGTGTCACCAAACTTGCACACTGATAATGAGGAGCACTTTGCTCCTCCTGGAGATATAGCGGCCTGCTTGCCGTTTAGGTTAGACTTCCTAGGCCACGTGGCCCCCAAGCAACCGGTACCTCCTCCCTTTCGGAGGGAAACATCATTGCAGACTCTGATATTGACCGTACAGGCCCTAGACTCAGACTGGTTGGACTGGTACCCGCCTAGACCTAGCCTACAACTACTGGGCTTCTGAAAATGCCAACTTTTGTCTTCTTCTGCTCGGCCTCGAGTACCCGGCACATCTACCTCTACTTAGTGAGGTATCAGCCTACCTGCTACTTGAGAGTTTTCCGCTGCTCTAAGTGTTCCGAGGCTCTTTCCCCACCACTTGAGTGTTTCCCCCCGCTATAACCCTCAATGTCACGGCCACAGGTAAGAACCGGCCCTTCGGGCCCTCTGAACGATAAAGTGCCCTTGCGGGTCACACACAAACTCAACCCGACCAGCACTCAGACAGGCATGCAGAGCAGCAATCAGGCACACACACAGACTTAGAAAACTCAGCAACAAGCGGGATACTCAGCAAGGCATATATTCCATGAGCAAAAATCAGAAATCAGCTGTGTCTCAGTCCATGTTCGGCAGGTCATTACATCCATGTAAATATCTCTGTGAGTGAGGAGAGTCGTCACATTGTGGCAACCCTCCGAGTTTGCGCGCGGATTCGCTGCTTTTTTCCAATCGTTTGTTTCTTTTTTTGTGTTTTTTTTTAACTTCAGACCATTTTGGAATTTCCCGATATATGCGTAGCACACTTGTGCAGGGGCCATGCTACATTGAATCTTCTCTCTTCTCTGTATTGTTCCAATTTTAACGGATGCCTGGAAGGACAACTGTTTGTCCCTTTTCATGCCAAATGTGGCTAACTTTCCACACCCCCTTAGTCAAATAACTTAGTACACAAACGGCTGTCTCTGTTGGTGTCTCTGCTGGTAAGTGTCCGCGGGTGGCTGCCACCATCTCTTAATATCCATGGGTTTCCCAACAGTGGTCGCTCGAGTACCTCCTCATTGCATTCCGGTTTACGTGTTTGCTTTGGGAAAGCTTCCGTCCACTGCCTCCAGATCCTGATTAATGCAAAAATAGGACTGAATCCTAACATAGGGTCGTGCTGCTGTAGCAAAAAATAGGATAGGCTAGTGCTGATGCTGACAAGAGATCACATTGTGCCAAGTCTTGTCTAGGAACCAAACTGAGTCCATGGTGGTTATGAACTTATGAAATATCCATTGACGGAATAGATGGTCGTAAAATTACTGACATAATGCGTCCAGGACCATAAATTATAGTATCGGAAACCGACGGAAGGAGAATTTCTTAAAGTAGATCAGCCTCTAACAAATAATCCAAATGTTGGTGGATTTGGACGAGAAAATACGGAAATTGTTCGTCAAAATCCTTTAAGAATGGAAGGATTGATTCTTTTGTTTATTTCTGTGATTTCGTCAAAATCCTTTAAGAATGGAAGGATTGATTCTTTTGTTTATTTCTGTGATTTTAGCTGAGTTCTTTTTAGTGCTTAGATTCCCTCATCATGATGGGCTTTTGTTCTGAATCCAGATTCATTCGGAGTACACTCTAATCCTCATGGGCCCAGGATTCAAGTTGGAAGATTATGGTAATTGATGAATGGTGCAAAATGCCAAGCACGGCAGCCTAGTGGAATGCCATTACACATGACAGGTCTGTCTGAAAAGATGGCAGATTTCCGATAGCCTTGGGTCGGTCGGCGGGATTGTCATTGAGAGAAAAACGGAGCGGAAGCCGATGTCTGTCTGTTGCTGGATTTTGGCCTGCGCAGCTTCGGGGATGCCTGCATTGTGTTTGCTCCTCCATACTGATCTTGGGAATTATGGTGGGGAAAGTGTCTTTGCATACTATTAGGTAATGATGCATGCTGGAGGTGATGATGATGGTGATAATGGTGGTGGTGGTGGCGGTGATGATGATGATGATTTCATCATCATGATGGTGACCGGTGGTGATGGTGATGTTGAGAGTATGTGGTGGTGATGATGAACTTTTTTGAGACTT